GTGCTCAGTAACGGTGCTCTGTGGCTGTGCTCGGTGGCAGTGCAACGGATGCGCCATGGTTGTGCTCAGTAGCAGTGCAACGGGTGTGCGGCGGCTGTGTTCGGTGGTTGGGCTCAGTGGCTATGCTCTGGGTTCTAGCTGGATCCGACGTCAAGATCACCTTCACCTCCTCCGTCTCTTGCCTCGCAGCTGCCACCAACTTCAAAGACCGCTGTCAAACGACTAGCCGGTCGAGAAGCTCTTCCCCGAAGCTCGGCTCCATCCCTGCAAATTCCTCACCCCATCATCCAATTTTATATGAAAAAATATATAATAAAAAAGGGGATGGTGGATCAAAGATGGGGAACAGCCAGATCAAAAGCCTCTAGTGGTGCATGGGCACCATGTGAAAAAAAAAAAAAAAAAAAAAAAAAAAAAAAAAAAAGAAAGAAAAAATGGCGCGTCTGGCACCATGTGCAGAAAAAGAAAAAAAAAAAAAAATATATATATATATATATATATATATATATATATATATATATATATATATAAGAAGTAAATGGATCCTTGGTGGCTAGCACCATGCAAAAAAAAAGGGAAAAGGTTTTGGAATGGTGGATCAGTCCATGTGAAAAATTAATATGTATGTATGTGTGTGTGTGCATAATATTATGCATGTTTACGGCAAAAAAAAAAAAAAAAAAAAAATGCATCGAGAGAAATAAAGTCCGTTTTATTCATTTTTTTCTGGAAATTTTACATAAATTTGCATTATACATACTTAAAAAAAAAAAAATCAAGTTTACAAGAGGGGATCTTCAAGGACGATCAGGTGGCGCCTCACAACTCGGCAGAGCTCCAGGAAGAGAAGGCGTCGGAGGTTGGCTGTTTGAAGCCTCAGCAGTCGGTACAGCCCCAGAAGACGAAGGTAAATGCTGCTGGAACAAACCCACAAACCTCCGATGATCAAGTAAAATCTGACCATCAGATTCCTGCATCTGGTCAATTTTCCTCTTCATGTTTGTGGCATAGTTGTGTGCAAGCTTGTGCAACTGTTTATTCTCATGCTTGAGCCCTCTGATCTCCTGTTTGAGACTCATCACTTCAGCCGCCAACGATTCAACTTGACGGGTTCGAGCAAATAGGCGTTGGGCCATGTTGGACACAGAACCCGCACACTGCACACTAAGAGCCAGGGACTCCTTAACAGCCAACTCATCAGACCGCCTGGAAAGTAGTCTGTTATCTTTGGGAGTGACAAGGTTCCGGGCCACCACCGCAGCGGTCATATATCATTCTTCATCACCGAATCCCCAACAGTAAGAGGACCAGTAGGGGATATGAAGGATGGGCGCCATATGTTGTCTGGAGAAGGCGGGACTGCCTCTTCACCAAGATTCAAGTCAAAACGACAATCGGAGGGCCCTGACATTTTCAAAGTGTTGAAGAAAGAAGAGGTCGGACAAATCAAGATCTTAGAAGTGCAAGAGGGGAGTTTTCACAAGCGAAAATTCAAGTGTGCTTTGAAACGAACTGCATGCCTCTATAAAAAATCAGCACTCGACGGGATTTCAGAGATCGAAGAGGCGAGCTCAGAATTCGAAGAGGCCATTCAAAAATCGAAGAGGCAAGCTCAGAAATCGGAGAAGCATCTTGCTTTTCCAGACGCGTCAACACCCGTCACACGCAAACTCAGCTTTGCGGAAATCACGGGCAATTTGTTAAAGCGCCAATCCCAGATATCGAAGAGGCGCCAGTCTTTTCAGCCTCGTCATCACCTGTCATATGCACACTCAACTTTGCGCAAATCACGGGCAATTTGTCGAAGATTTTTCGGTGAAGGAGAAAGCACGTGAAATTTTACTGTTCAATCACGCGTTAGTTGTCGACACGAGTGAAAGAATAGTACCTCTACAAGTATTAAAGAACTTCCTATAAACTGTCTACCTTCACCCTACATAGTAAGGCAGACATACATAACATTTCTTCATCTCCAAAAATGCTTTCCCAACGAAACCTCTCGAGTCATTCAGTGTTCCTTATTCCTTGGGGTACCTCTGCAAGCCAATGACTCCAAAGCAAAAGTATCTCATATCACCAGGGTAGAAAGCAAGAGTATCTCATATCATGCGTTCTCTCTGTCCTTTCCTTTGTCCTTGTTCTTACCTACAAAGACAAGGATAAAGAAAACAATATGCCGGAACTTCCACTCAAACTCGGGTAAGGAACCGACTGCTTGGAACCCTTCCCTGATTGCCTACCTAGCACTGCTCTCGAGTACTCGTTTCGCACTGCTGCTGTACTTCCAAAGAAGCTGCCACATCTGCCTGGAGAACAGATAAGGCAAGTGAAAATGATACCTTGCAGCATGTGGAGACAAGGTGCAGAAGGAACAAGCAGAGAAGAATGCGGTTTGCACAGTCAACTCAGCAGAAGGAGTCCGAACTGAGGAACTCGAGAAGCTGCCATATCTGCCTGAAGAAACAAGCAGAGAAGAATGCAGCATGCACAGCCAACTCGGCAGAAAGAGTCTGAGATGAAGAACTCGTTTTGACCCTCAAATTCTTGGGTCGACTTACTAGGCGTTGTGGGCTGCACGTGCCGATTCACCACCCTTGAATCGAATCCTTAAAGATCAAGTCACCAACTGGAAGAAGAGTTCATCAATCTTGAAGATCATACCGTTGACCAAACCGCTCAGGTGTGAATTAGAAAGATTGAACAAAGAAACAGGTTGTCACCTTTACCTCGTGCCTGCTTGTCATGTGTTCGAGTCAACCTTCAAGAATCAAGCCTCAACGGCCCTTGAAGAAGCTTTCAGCCAAATTCGAAATCAAGCATCGACGGCCCTGGAAGAAATCACAAGTCTGATTCAAGATCAAGTGTCTACCACCCTTGAATCAAAACCTAGTTCAAGATCAAAGCTGTGGAAAGTCAACAAGCGCAACAAAATACGTGCCGATTCATCCACTACCAAAGCCAAAAATCATTTACCACATGAAGCTCCTTGTGGCCCAATTTCAACCTTCAAGATCAAGCCTCGACGATCCTTGAAGAAATTTCAAACAAAAGTTCAAGAACAAGCCTCAACGGCCCTTGAAGAAATCTCAAGCCCAATTCAAGATCAAGCCTCAACGGCCCTTGAAGAAATCTCCAGCCCAATTCAAGATCAAGCCTCGATGGCCCTTGGATCGACATCTATAATAAGGGACTTCAAAACGCATCTCCTACACGTGACAAGCACATGTATACGACGTGCCTTGAAGTGGGGGCATTTGTAGACATCGAAATTTCGGTAAATAAATGTTGACCGATAAATCAAAGTGTCAACGCTCATGTATTACATAAATTTTACACGTAGCGTGTGACTCAACGAAAATTGAAATGAGTTGGAAAAGTCATCAAATAGGACACGTGTCAACACCTGGCAGAAACGACTTATTTCATCCGGGATATTATATTCAAAATTAGGCCTTGGAAAATTCTATAAATATAAGCCCATTTCATTCATTTAAGAGGGAATTGATATTACACCTTGAAGCTCTGAAGCTCTGAAACTCCGAAGCTCTCAAGCATCCACGTTCCCGAAGAATCAAGAAAGCCTTCTTCGTTCTTCGTTCATCGTTCTTCCAAGATCAAGCCCCGACGGCCCTTGAAGAAAGTGTTCTTCGTTCATCGTTCTTCCAAGATCAAGCCCAACGGCCCTTTGGATCAACAATCATCCACCAATTCAAGATCAAGCCCCGACGGCCCTTGAAGAAAGTGTTCTTCGTTCTTCGTTCATCGTTCTTCCAAGATCAAGCCCCGACGGCCCTTAGATCAACCATCCACCAATTCAAGATCAAGCCTCGACGGCCCTTGAATAAAGCACCATCGTTCATCATCTGTTCATCCAAGATCAAGCCCCAACGGCCCTTTGGATCAACAACGTCGACAAATCCACACATCCAACTGTTCTTCAAGATCAAGCCCAAAAGCCCTTGAAGATCCGTTCATCACTGTTCTTCAAGATCAAGCCCAAACGCCCTTGAAGATCCGCTCATCACCGTTATTCAAGATCAAGCCTCAAACGGCCCTTGAAGAAACATTCATCCTCAAGATCAAGCCCCAACGGCTCCTTGAAGATCCGCTCAAATCCACCTCCAAAGATCAAGCCCACGGCCCTTTGAAGAAACTTCCAACAGTTCATCCAAGATCAAACCTTGACGGCCATTGGATCAACGAAATATCAATCAACACCTTACGGAGATCGAATCAGAGGATCAAATTAGAGAGAGATTGTAACCCAAAACCATCAAAAAATACAAATATTTGTTTGTGCACGTTGTTCTTGTCTCTTTCGTTTCAGGAATTTTCCGTGTTCACAACGACGGCTCAAGAGATACTCAGACGGACTAGACTGGCGTGGATTGATTACGCAGTGGCAAAAGGTGTTCTGAAAGAGCATCTTATCCTCCTGGCAAATAGCATGACGTGCTGGAAATTTTGTCAGCTTCAATTCTCCTGGATATAAAGCACTATCTCGAGCATTAAATATTAGGAAAACTAATGAAAAGAGTTTGAAAAATTTAAGTTTTCATGATAAAGACAAAATAAAGGGTAAAGTGAATAGTACCAGGATTGACTTTTTAGTGTAAAAATATGGTTTTTCGTTAAAGTGAACAGTACCGGATGCTTTTCGTTAAAGTTCCCAAAAATATTTAAGTACCATTTACAGAAGCAACATTTTTTGTGAGTAATTGAACTCTTTTGTCTAATTATGTGAATGGCATGTACCTTTGGGTCGTGGTTAGATGAACTACAATCACACCTAATTGTAGTAATTTAGGCCCAAAATATAATTCAAGACCAAATAGCCCATTAGTACCCTAGTATGAAATTATACATATACTAAAGCCCAGTTCTCCGGCACTGTTTTGCACTGTTAAGAACAGTGGAATGTCGGAAATGCCCTATCCTTCTCCTTGCTTTACCGTTCTCTGGCCTTTTTTTCACAGTAAAAAGACTCTTATACCCTTCCTCTCCACCTGTTGATCATCCTTACGTCTTCTAGGTTTGCCTCTTCTCGACTCTTCTGCTTCATTCCGCTTCTCTCATCCAAAAAAATTAATCGCTGCTTCTCAAACTCTCTCTGTCTCGCACCGCCACCACGAGGCGCTGCAGCCACTCAAAGGCTGGGTCTCCAAAGGCGTTGTTTTGTAAAACCCTCTCTACTCAAGGCAAGTAATTTCGTGCCCAATTTGGAATTTAAATCTATTTACTTTTTTAAGTTGATTTGGGGTTACTGAAATCAGCTATGGAAAATCTGCCATCGTCTGAGAAATCTCAAGATTCCAGTATTCAAATTTTGGGTTCTCTTCAGATTTCACAATTGTGAACTTGGCAGCCAGTGCAACTGGTTACAGAGCTTCCTGTGAGTTAAAGTTTTAAAATTTTGTTTGAATTTTTTTAGAGTTTTTATCATTTTTGTTATCTCTGCTGCTGCTTTGCATTTTTTTTATTTATGATTTTTATGCGCTGTTTATGTGTAGCCATTCGAATTAGTGTTTCTATTTTGATTAGGCAGCTTGAAGAATTTGGTAAATAGGGTTAAAAGCAATCTGATTTGAATGTTGATAGCATTCGTTTTGTTTTAGAACTCAAAGCCATCAACAACTTATTGGCCCTTGCAGTTGGATTAAAGCAAAAGAAAAGTGTGAACAGGATTGTAAGAGAGAGAGAGAAAGCTTGATTTGGGTTGTAAGAAAAATGATTCTCATTACACTACTCTGATATCTCATTACACAAGGATATATACATCAATAATTATATCCTAGTCAGCAATACATAACCGACTATATCAAACTTAGCTTAATAGCTAAGCTGAGTACTAATCTAGTGCATTGTGTGCATTACAATCTGGTGGTCCTTCATTCTCCTTAATACACCCCCTCAAGCAAAAGGAAGAAGGGCGAACTGAAAGCTTGAACCGAAGCTGTGCAAATCGATCAGCAGGGAGGGATTTGGTAAAGATATCAGCGAGTTGGAGTAAGGAAGCCACATGATGAACACTGATATGTCCCAGAAGAACCTTTTCGCGGATGTAGTGATAATCGATCTCTACATGTTTAGTACGGGCATGAAATACTGGGTTGAAAGCTAGAGCAATGGCACTCTTGTTATCACAGAAAACACTCGGGGTTTTCAGAAGAGGAAAGGAAATGTCAACCAGAATTTTGCAAACCCAACTGAGTTCGGCAGCAGCAGCAGTATGAGCAAGAGAGCGCGATACTCAGCTTCAGTAGAAGAACGAGCTACTGTACATTGTTTCTTGGCACTCCAGGAGATGAGATTGGGTCCAAGAAACACACAGTATCCACTAGTAGAACGTCTGTCCACAGGGCAACCTGCCCAATCAGCATCAGTCCATGCTGTAAGAATTTGCCGACCTTTGGTAAACCACAACCCGGAGTCAAGGGTACCCTTCAAGTACCGGAGAATCCGTTTGACAGCCTGCAAATGAATAGTCCGGGGAGTATGCATGTACTGACAAACCTGGTTGACTGCAAAAGCCAAATCCGGTCGTGTCCAAGTAAGATATTGAAGGGCACCAACGGTGGAGCGATAAGAAGTAGGATCTGTGAGAGGAGAACCAGAGTGATCCAACTTTATGGAACTAACGGGAGTGGTGCAGGGTTTGACCCAAGCATATCTGTCTTCTTAAGTAAGTCCAAGGCATATTTGGACTGATGAAGAAACAATCATTTTGCAGATCGGTGAACCTCAATGCCGAGAAAATAATGAATATCACCTAAGTCTTTGACTGGAAATAAGGATTGAAGCTGGGAAATAATGGACTGACAGAGGGCAGGGGAACTTCCAGTGATAATGATATCATCCACATACACTAAGATGAAGGTGATGAAAGAGTCTTTCTTGATGAAGAGACTAGTGTCCGAGGAAGAAGAAGAGAAACCCAACGAAACCAGTGCGCTGTAGAAGGCTTCATACCAAGCTCGGGGAGCTTGTTTGAGTCCATAGAGAGACCGTTTGAGTTTACAAACATGGTGAGGCTTAGACTGATCCACAAAACCAGGAGGTTGAACCATATACACATCTTCTTTGAGATAGCCATGCAGAAAAGCATTACTGACATCTAACTGATGTACAAACCAATCATAGCTCACAGCAAGAGACAAAAGTATTCTGATGGTGGTCGGCTTTGCTACAGGGCTAAAGGTTTCAGAAAAATCGAGGCCTTCTTGTTGATGAAACCCTTTAGCTACCAACCGAGCCTTGTATCGGTCTATTGAACCATCAGCTTTGTGCTTAATTTTGAATACCCATTTACACCCAACTAAATTGTAACTTGGATGAGAAGATACTAATTCCCAAGTACCAGTGGATTGAAGTGCTTGATATTCATCTGTCATGGCTTTTACCCAAGCAGGATGCTTGGAGGCTTGAAGATAAGTAGTAGGGGTCGGAGGAATGATGGTGAGTGGATCAACGGAAGGGGAGAGATGATGCTTAGTGGCTGTAAAGATCTTAGGCTTAGAAATACCGGCTTTGGCTCGGGTAATCATGGGATGGTGGTTGTTGGGATAGTTGTAGGAGGGGGGACAGGAGAAGAAGAAGAGGGAGGAGGGAGGGGTACTGATGAGGAGGAAGGTGAAGATGAGGGATTTTGTAGAATGGCAGGAGGGGTTGGAGTATGATGAATAGGTATAGTAAGAGAAATAGGGTGAGATAATGAAGGAGAAGAAATAGAAGGAGAGGATACAGTAGGAGAAGGTAAAGGGAGAGAGTGCTTGAAAGGGAAAAGAGTTTCATCAAACACCACATGTCTCAAAATGTATAACCTGTTAGTAACCGGATCAAGACAACGGTAACCGCTGTGATTCAAGCTGTATCCCAAGAACACACAAAGTTTACTCTTTGGATCTAACTTACTGGATGAGTAAGGTTGGAGCCAGGGATAACATGCACACCCAAAAGTCTTCAAGAGATGATATGGAGGTGGAGCTTTGAAGAGTAATTCCCAAGGATTGATAGAAGAAGCCTGAGGAGGAAGGCGATTGATGAGATATACTGCAGTTTGAAAAGCCTCAATCCAGTACTGAGAAGGTAAGCCATTGTGAGATAATAAAGTTCGACCCATTTCAACCACATGTCTATGTTTGTGTTCCGCACATCCATTCTGCTCAGGAGTGTGAGGACAACTCAATTGATGAGTTATGCCTTGAAGATTAAAGAAGCTTTGCAAAGTAGCACTTAAGAACTCACCCCCTGAATCAGATCGCAAACGTTGAACTTTGCTGTCGAAAAGAGTTTGAACTTTGAGAACAAAAGTCTGAAGAACAGAACACACATCGGATTTATAATGCAGTGGATAGAGCCAGCTATATTTAGTGAAATCATCAACTAGTATTAGATAATAGCGATATCCAGTACAAGAAGAGGTGGGGGAAGGACCCCATACATCAGCATGAACAAGATGAAATGGCCGAGTAGATTTACAAGGTAAAACAGAAAATGGCAATCTTGAAGCCTTCCCAAATTGACAATCAGAACAAACAGACTTCTGAGAATGTGAACCAGCAACAGACAAGTGACCTTTATTTACTATTTTATTGAAAACTAGACTTGAAGGATGACCAAGCCGTCTGTGCCATGTAGTGATATCAGCTTTAGCAATCATTAGAGCATGAGGTGAAATAGCAATGCCAGAAACACCAGTAGAAGCATGCCAGTAGAAAGGGTACAATCCTCCTTCACTGGGGCCCTGGAAAAGCATCATCCCAGTTCTTAGATCCTTGATGTAGAATCCAAAGGGATCAAAAGTCAGCGAGCAACAGTTGTCATACACAAATTATAAAACGGACAGGAGATTATGAGAGGCTTGAGGAACTAATAACACATCATGAAGTTTGAACACAGCATTAGGAGTGCGTATTAAAGCATTTCCAGTATGAGAAATACACAAACCTTTGCCATCACCCACGAAAAGTTGTTCAGTGCCTGTGTATGGTGTGGCAGAGTTTAGCGAGGCTGGATCAGGAGTGACATGATGAGTCGCTCCACTGTCAGTAATCCAGTAGCTTGGAGGATGGGATCCAGTCAGAGCATTGAAACCCATGGGAGGGGAACAATGAGAAGCAAATTGGGAGAGAGAGCCACAATAGAGAGCAGAGTGACCATATTGATTACAAAGCTGACAAGGAATGGATTGTCCAGGTTGGGATGGTCCAGGAATAGGACCAGAGTGTGCACCAGAAAATGAGGAACGAGAGGGAGCAGGACCAAGAATACCTCCAGAGAAATTATGTTGGCGATTAGCACCAAAGTTGCGATTCTGAGGAAAGCGATTACGATTGTGGTATTGATTGCGATTCTGATTCTGATATTTGCCTCTGAAGTTGCCTCTGAAAGAAGGAGAACCAGACGAGCCTTGTTGAGCAGTATAAGCATGGAAGGGTGCAGAACTTGAGGATGTAGAGCCTTGTCGAGTCTTGCGTTTTTGAAGGGAAATCTCCTTACTAAGTAGAAGACCATGGAGTTCATCACCATTAACAGACTCAGTTCTTGTCTCGATTGAGTCAACAAATGATTCATACTCATCTGGGAGACCAGCGAGAATATAAGCCACAAGATCTGAATCAGAAATCGATTCACCAGCAGCAGCAAGCTTATCAGAGATGTCCTTAATAGTGTTGAGATACTCAGTCATGGAAGCATCACCTTTCTGAATAGTCTGGATTTTAGATCGGAGACTATGAACATGAGTACGCGAAGCGCCTGCGAAACGACGTTCAAGAGACTGCCACAGAGAACGAGAATCTTCCATTCCAATGGTCAGAGGAAGAAGATCTTCAGCAAGAGTGGAGTTGATCCAAATCGTCAAGATTTGGTCACGTTCACACCACAGTTCGTACGCAGAGTTAGGAATCTGAGATCCAGACGAATCACGAACACACGGAGGAGGACAAGGATCATCTCCAATAAGAAGCCCAAAAAGCTTGAATCGCTTCAGAACAGGAAGAAATAAGCGACGCCAGGTGATGAAATTGTGCCGATTGAGTTTCGTCGGAACCATTCCAGCAATGTTTTGAACAGTAATCGTCGCAATCGATGGAGGCACATTAGTAGAGATCTCACCAAGAGGAGTAGGACCAGAAGAGGTAGCTGGAGGAGAGGAATCAGAGGAGGATGGATGAGGCGCCATAGCGATTGCAGACAGAATGCACGAGAGAGAGAAAAGATCTGTTTGGGAGATCAGAAAATAAAAAAAAATACGAGAAGGAGGTAAGATCTGTTTGGGAGATAAGAAAAAAAATCCAAGAAATTAAGAAAAGGAGGGAAGCGAAGGATCGACGTCGGTGGACTCCGGCGAAGATACCATGATGAAGTTATGAATCTGTGCAGTTGATGAGAGAGAGAGAGAAAGCTTGATTTGGGTTGTAAGAAAAATGATTCTCATTACACTACTCTGATATCTCATTACACAAGGATATATACATCAATAATTATATCCTAGTCAGCAATACATAACCGACTATATCAAACTTAGCTTAATAGCTAAGCTAAGTACTAATCTAGTGCATTGTGTGCATTACAATCTGGTGGTCCTTCATTCTCCTTAATAGTTTCTTGACCCGTTGTTTAGTTTCTTCTATCTTTGAATTCTTTGGATTTAATTTCTCATTGTTATTCAATTTCGTAGTTCTTATCAAGTGCTTCTCCACCAGTTCACCTAGACGATTGCCACCACCAGTTCACCCAAATCCAATGAATTGCGCCGCACCACCAATAGGTAAGCAATTTATCCTACTCTAGATTTCAAATATTTCTTTTTAGGTCTGTACATGTGTGTATGACAATTCATTTAAATGTTATACCTAATTTTTTGCATTTAGGAACATAAAAGGGAAATTAGGTGAGGGTTTTTTTCTTCAAATGGGTTGATACTTTTGGCCTGAAAGTATTTAATGCCTTCTAGGGAATCTTGAACACGGTTTGGGCGAGTGATAGTTGTCTAATGCTTGGAAGGCAGCTCTAAAAAATTTAAATTATGTTTCTGAGTTTTCTTTTCTTCTAATTACATAAAATTGATATTGTCATGTAGTTATTTGTTTGTGCTTTGTTTGTGCTTTGTTCATCGATTTCTTTCTTCTCAAAATTTTCGCTTCGTTTTATATAATGCACAGAAAGAAGGGGGAATGTCCGAATTGGAGAAAGGTGCAGTTAAGGCTGTTCAAGATCTTTATGACGTTGTGCACCATGACATCCTTTCTATGGACCTGAGGTCAGTTAAACATGTGTTATGTGTATGGGTAGAGTTTCCATTGCTTGATTCTCCTCTACTTATATCACTTTATTGGCTGCCAATTTTAGGAAAAACTACGAGACATGGGAATTGTTGTCAAATGCAAGGACAGAAGGTCGTGTATTTGCAAAGTTGAAGTGGCCCAAGGACCGAGTTGGTATGTTTGAGTAGATTACCTGATCTCCTTAGTTGGATTTAGGTTTAATGCTCAGTAGTATGTTGTGCTTCTGCTGCTTTTTAGTTATCAAGGATATGCAGGGAGCGCAAGTGAAAAATTGTATTCACTGTGTTGATGCATTATTGAACGAGAGACCCAAAAGGAAGGACAGATTCAATCTCAAAGTCTGTCAGCTTTCACTTCTTCATTTTGATTGCTCTTCGAAATTTGAATGCATGAGTTTTTTTATTTTATTGGGATTAGTTTACCTGAGATGGGTTTTGGTAATCATCTGTTATTTTATGATTTGGTTATAGCATGCGAATCATTGGTTCTTTAGAAAAGATTACGGAAGTTGAGCAATTTCAGAAAAAATGCGATTATCATTTTCTAGAGATCATGGCATGCCCTTCCATTATTTTTTTGGTGGTTGTAAAATTATGACCTGACATGGAAGTGGGTTTGGACAAGATTTATTTTTTATTTTTTATTACATCTGTAGTGTCATGTTGGCATTATTGCTTACGTATAAATGCGAGTGTATTTTACATCTATCTAATGACTTTAATTTTGATCTCCGCATTTTCAATGTTCACTAATGCCTTTAATTGTCCTCTTTTTTACATCTTAGTGATGATACAAAAGCTCCATAGAAAACATATCAGCTTTCGACTCAAATTTCGATGGTGCCCCTATCATCTCTCCAAAAACCAAAGCAACCCAAAGCAATTCCAGAATCATTTTTACGTGTCCCAAAATACAGTGTGTATATATTCATCTCAAATTTATTCATCTCACAAACATTCATATCACAAACATTCATATCAAGTTCGTAGTTTTTCATTGTTCTCAATTCCACACTACTCAATGTTTAATAACACTTTTATTTTCCTCTATTTACTTTTTTTATTAGTGATGTTGCAGCAAAGGAAATATCAGACACAACTCTTACTCCAAAGGCTCCAACCAGAAATGTATAAGATTCCCCAAGCATTTCTGAAACCATATTTATGGCTGCAAAACAGAGTATGTATACCCTTTCATTGTTCTATATTTTTTGAATTATTAACTACCTATTAAACATGATTTCTTTATCCCATTCGCTAAAAACTCAAATAGTTCACTAGATTTCTTTATCATAGTATCTTTTGACCATCTTTTGTATGTAAATAGGACAATTTCGTAATTCTTTTTGTATGTAAATAGGATTATCCACCAAATCTTTTGCACATAAAATAGTATGTACATATAGATCAAGTATTTTTGTATGTAAATAGTTCTATACACAAAATTCCATACAATTTTCAATCCCGCAGCATCGCACGGGCATCTCTTACTAGTATTATTTATTGGTTTACAATACTTGCTATTAGGAATACATAATGAATAAGACTATCTTATTCCGAATTTGAGAAATCAGAATCTATGAACTCTTTAGATTTAGGTATTTTAAAATCAATTATGATGGTCTGATTTTAATTGCACAATATTCACATAAGCACATGCATGACATGAGACAAATAGAGAGACTTACCATTTGATGGATTCTTGTAACACAACCTTCATATTCCATATCCCGTAGATAATACGGCGTAATCGGGATCCTCAAGGCCATTGGTGGACTACAAATTGTTTGGTCGGTTTCATTAGGCATATTGCTTCCCTTGCCTATCATTGTCACGAGCCCCATGATCAGGTTGATCATGATTGTCAGGAGGCCCATGATTAGAATCGTCATCACCTTTATAATGATTGTCACGAGGCTCATGATCGGAACCATCCATCTCACCTGATGGATGACAAGGGTGTTACAACACAACAATATTTTTTATAAGGAAAAAATTGTATGCATTTCAAAAATTGGGTTCAATAGATAATTACCAGTTTCATCAATATTGGGATCAATATAGGAAATAGCTCCGAAATCAGACTCATGAGTTCCATTGCCTTTAACTCGGTTGAAACCGGATATGCTCTCAGCTACATGGGAAATAAGGATAAAATTGTTTATATAAGAAGTCCTTATACTTTGGTGTAATAGGGAAAAAAATGTTTATAAACAAAAGTCCTTAAACTTACTAATAGGATCTCCGAAATTGGAACCATGAGTTTCAAAGCCTTCACCTCGAAATCGGATCCGCTTTCACCTGGATGACATGGGAAATAAGGAAAAAACTGTTTATATAAAAAGTCCTATACTTTGGTGTAAAAGGGAAAAAAACTGTTTATAAACAAAAGTCCTTATACTTAGTTGGATCTCGGAAATCAGCCCCATGAGTTTCAGAGCCTTCACCTTAATCGAAACCAGATCCGTTCTCACCTGGATGACATGGGAAATAAGGAAAAAACTATTTATATAAAAAGTACTTAATACTTTGGTGTAATAGGAAAAAAACTGTTTATAAACAAAAGTCCTTGTACTTACCAATAGGATATGGAATAGGTTGAGGTGGAGCAAGATCTTTTATAAGCGACTTGGGTGCTCCCACTTCTCAGTGTACTGTTCGTAATGGTGGTATGTTCGCCAGTCGATCCTTTTTGGCCCCGTCCTTGAAATGATCTTTTTCAGGCGAATCTTATTCCTCAAGCCACTCACATCCACTAGTTGAATGCCAAATTGCTTTGGGGACATTCATTGGGGCATAGGCTCTCTCTTCAAAGTAGATGAGGATGGTTTGGGACCTTCCCAACTCTTCTTGGCCAACTAGGTTGATTGGGAGAAAATCTGGAAGCAGCCTTTTATATGGCTGCCATTCAATCTGCAAAAGGAATTAATATTTATACACTTCAATGCGTTAAAAAAAAAAAAACTCAAAAACACTCATTAAATTAAGGGAACTTTAATGAAAAGCACCTGGTACTGTTCACTTTAACGAAAAACCACATTTTTACATTAAAAAGTCAATCCTGGTACTATTCACTTTACCCTTTATTTTGTCCTTATCATTAAAACTCAAAGTTTTCAAGCCCTTTTCATTAGTTTTCCTTTAAATTAATACTTACCATCAAAGAATATATGTGTCCCATCACGGAGAATGCCGACGCCTTTGCCTTCGATTGACCGCTTCTATACTTATCTAATTCTTTTTTGACAATTTCTAATGAGTAATGTAGGTGTGCTAATAAAGCAGCACCCCACACATATGTATCAATCTCTTGGAGATTCTCTAAGAGAGGAAGAACAATACTCTGGGCCGAGTATGTTTAGCTCGGTAGTATGATCGAAAATAATTTATACATAAGGTAAGCTCTAACATACGGAAGCAACTCTGGACCATCTATTCCTATTTCAGGTGGCACTACTTGAAACTTGTCCCTAAGCCACGTGAACTTTAAAGCCTCCTTGACTACAAAATCCTCCTCTAAATAAGTGCGGGTCAGATACTCTCCCCCATTATCGACTCTAGAGACGGCTCTTCTATCAATTGGCAACCCGGTGATGTACAAAACGTCTTGTAGGGTAAATACTAATTTACACCCACTAGGAAGGACAAAACACTGCATTTTAACATCATAATATTCAATTATTACTGATAGTAAAGTCATGTTGTGTTTGACCCTTTGGGTGAGGCTAAGAAACCTATAGAATGAAGTATGCTTAATCTTTTCCCTAACCCTATCATCTAGTTTCCAGGAATCTAAATTAGATAAGCTTTCATTTGACTTTTCCTACAAGAAAAAACAATAGGATGAAAAACAAAAGGTTGTAAAGAAAACATGGAGAATTCAACCTAACAATAAACTATCAAGGATTTAACTCTAAACTTACAATGAAAGTGGCCATTGCAATTTTTCTATCAAGGACCTGTTCATAGAATCAAAGCATAACATATCACAACCACATTTCAGCATATAATATATCACAATCACAGTTCAGCATATAATATATCACAACCACAATTAAACCAGAACCAATTTTAGAATTTCATCTACTTTTGGAAATATTTTGACACAAAACACAACATACATACACCCAAAAACACTATTTTCATAACACAAACGAAAAGGGAATTCAGAATCAAAACTAACCCATTTTCTTCCTCATAGAACTGCAGCAAACTTAACTGAAAGAAATAAAATCCATTGCCAGAAACTTAGCATTCAAATTGAAAGTTAGCATTCAAACTTAACTGAAAGAAACAAAATCCATTGCCAGAAACTTAGCATTCAAATTGAAAGTTAGCATTCAAAATATGCAATTCGTGAAGATGATTGTGTCATCTATGTCAAACTCAACAATAGTGACAATTGAATCAAGACTTACTATCTTCAGGGGGGAATTCATCAGGAGTATTCAACAACAAGCTAAACTAGACATAAGCACATTGTGCTCTTTTTCCTTTGACCAGGCCTTTATTCACTTAATTTTTCCATAGCAATATTTTAGCGAGACAACATTATGTGTATCTAACACCATATCAATATATCACAAACGTAGTGCCCGATTTTTCTTCTAGCCTTCCCTTAGGTTTTGTCCAATTGAGTTTTCCAAGCATAGTTTTATCGAGGCAAGTATCATTGATTGGTAGACATCGAAGAAGTGTTGTGAATATTTTTTATTGAAAATGTGATTTCAGCCCTTCAAATTTATTTATTTTTTACATAAAACTCACAATAATATATTTTTCTAACAAAACCCCAATGACTAGGCTCAACCTAAGTGAATTGCCTAATCGAGATTGTGTGTCATATTTAATATTTTTCGGATTCCCCAAATTACCCTAAGTTATGTCATTATAGCATTTTATGTTGATATCAAAATTAAAATAGAAAGCTTTTTTATTTGCTTGTAACGAGTGTAATGGCTTTGAAATTTTAATTGATGTAGGAATGGAAATTCAAAACGTCTTTTATTCAACAATAAATTTTCAGATTAATGTACCCTATTGATTTAATAAAAACCATGCTTTTGTTTTCTTTAAATCAAAAAGGGTGAAAAAAATGATGTGTCTAGTATGTTTTGTTTTATTTTTTGAATATCAATGTACCTTTTTTTTTTTTTTTTGAAAAGATTAGTGTACCTTGTCACATCCCGAGCTCGACTCCACTGTAGCACGATATTGTCCGCTTTGGACCCCGACCACGCTCTCATAGTTTTACCACGCTCTCATAGTTTTATTTCTGGGAACTCACATGAGAACTTCCCAGTGGATCACCATCATGGGATTGCTCTCGCGCGAACTCGTTTAACTTCGGAGTTCCGATGGAACTCGAAACCAATGAGTTCCCAAAAGGCCTCGTGTAGAGATGAGAATATACATATAAGGCTTACATGATCTACACCCCTGGGTGATGTGTGATGCTACATACCTACTTAGTACTAATAGTTTTGGTCATTTGGAAAAATAAGGCATCTGTCACCAAATTTTTGGATCTGGAAAATAATAGGTAAATTAGTAGGCATATTATTAATATAGGTAAATTTATTTATATAGGTAAGTAGTATATATTGGTATTCTGGTTGTAAAAAACTCGATTCTTTTTTGCTGGTGTTTAAATTTTGGTGTTCTACGGTTCTCGCTTATAAATTACCACTTGACTTATTCTGGAAAATGCATACAACAACAAAACGGATACTTCACCACTTCTATCCGGGTAATGCTAGGAAAATTACTTAAGCGTTAATAAACATATTCATTCTTATTGGTGACACATAATTTAATTTATAAATTTAGTCTCCCTAATATTATCGCTTCTTATCCAGTACGGTCCAAACCGTCCAATATCTTTGGTGGTGTTAAACAGAAACAGTTGCCACGTGTACTTCTTATCCTGGCCACCCAATATCTGATAAATATCAAAACTAGTACGAAATAGCAGCACCGCTAGTATTTTGCAGAGAGATTAGGGAGCAGAGATATAGAGAAAGAGATGAACAGCAGAGACAAAAGATGGTCTCTTAACGGAATGACGGCTCTTGTCACTGGTGGAACCAAAGGAATTGGGTTAGCTTCTCTACATCTGGATACTTCAGACCATTAATCTCTTTTTATTTCAGTTTTCCTTTTACTTGCAATGCAATATTCTCTTTATTTCTCTAATTGGAGCTTTGATCTTTAAATTTTGGTTCCTAAACTTATGACAATATGAAGGACAAAAAGTGATAAGGAAGTTACTTAGAAAGACCATTTGTCCGCCTACAAGATCAGAGACCAATACCTATAAATGTCTGATTCAAGAACTAAGCTCCAATTCTAAAAAAATTTAAGCACAAGTGTTCCAATTTTTTTCCTCAGATTTTACGATTCCATGTTTGAAGTTGATAATGTAATTATACAGGTATGCAATAGTGGAAGAATTGGCAGGGCTAGGTGCAATTGTGCATACTTGTTCGCGAAATGAAGTTGACCTTAATGACTGCCTGAGTCAGTGGGAGAAGAAGGGTTTTCAAGTCACTGGCTCAGTCTGCGATGTGGTGTCAAAGACCCAAAGAGAGGAGCTTATAAACAAGGTCTCATCACTCTTTGATGGCAAACTTAACATCCTTGTAAGTACAGGACTCATCAATTGACTGAAAGAATAATTTCAAGGCTTAACTATTGCAGTACCCCGATAGTGTTGTCGGATTCCACTTTACCTTCCCAAAGTTATTTTGACATATTTTGCTCTCTAAATCATATATTTGTGTCCCATTTTGTCTCATTTCATTAGTTCCGTTAAATATCCTGTTAAAGATTTTGAAAGTGTTGGCAACAATTCCACCAAAGATGATGTTAGAAGTTATTACAACGGTTGGCATCTAGAGAGGTCCATACCTGATTAAGCTAGAAGATTAATGTGAGTTCATGAATTTGAAGGTTGAGAGGTGTTTAAAGATGAACTCAGTTGAATCAAGTGTTTGTCAATTATCCATTAAGAAGAGTTTTCAAGTAAGAGAGTGTAGGAGCTGTCTGCAGCCTTTGGACTTCATGTCTTTAAAGTTATTTATTTTTTTTCTGTCGTTTTGCGTTTTATATAACACAAAGCTTCTCCCTATAATACAACAGTGTTTAGAGTGTTTGAACGATTAGATTGTGAGACTATCAAACGTCACAAATGAAAATCTAACCGTTTATTGAACCAAACATTCTGCACACCGCTCCATGGTAAAATTTTGCAGAGTACCACTCACTTTTGGCATTTTATTGTTTTGTTATGGATATTTTGGTCATGAAGAAAAGTAAAATTGTAATCGTTCAGTTTAGCAGAAAAGATGCCTTAGATCTCCCTGGATTCTCTTTGTGAGAATTCCAGGATTCTTCAATCATGTTCGTTCATCGTACATCGTGTGGTTGGAAATTATTTTAAATATTTTTATTTAAAATTAAACACAAACTGTACTTGACAAAAACTGACCGTACGATGTACAATGAACGAACATGATTCACGGATCTCTAGGATCCTCACCCAAAAGACTCGGAGAGGATCCTGACGCCCTTAGATCGTATCTGTGAGGATGTGAAGGTAAAAGAGTCCCGTATTAGTGAAAAGAGAAACCTTGCAATGGGTTATAATAGGTTGGGATACTCCATATATTGCTAATCTGATTTTATGAGGAAACCTCAACTTTTTCAGTATCTAGTCGTTTGAGAAAGCTTTAACTTTTTAGTGAAATTTAAGAATTTGAATCCAGTAGAAGAAGTGCACTTTTTTCCTTAATTTATAAGGAAAACTAATGAAAAGGGATTGAAAACTTTGAGTTTTAATGATAAGGACAAAATAAAAGGTAAAGTGAATAGTACTAGGATGGACTTTTTAGTGTAAAAATATAGATTTTCGTTAAAGTAAACAGTACGAGAAGCTTTTAGTTAAAGTCCCCTAATTTATAATTGTCGTCCATTAGCTTTGAACTCATAGCCCCTTTCAACAAAGTTGAGACTATTGTATTTTTATGCTAAACCTTTCCAAAAATGTGTGGCTGTAGATAAACAATGTGGGGGCTAACAGACCAAAAGCAACACTAGAGTACACCGCTGAAGATTACTCATTCATGATGAGCATCAATCTTGAATCCGCTTACCATTTGTGCCAACTTTCACATCCTCTTCTCAAAGCTTCTGGATCTGCTAACATCGTTTTTTTATCCTCTGTTGCTGGTGTGGTCTCACTAGAGGTTGGATCTATATATTCTGCAACTAAAGGTGCTTAATTATTTTCCTTATATATTTTTTAAAACTTTATGTAAAAATAAAACCCAATAGATAATTTGTGTTTTGCAGGCAGTTGAAGAATTGAGCTTAAATTGTGTGGCTTTTCTGTATTGTATCTCTCAGGTGCAATAAATCAATTAGCAAAAAACTTGGCATGTGAGTGGGCAAAAGATAAAATAAGGACCAACAGTGTTGCACCTTGGTTTATCACCACTCCCCTTGGTGAAATGGTAAGATCATCATCATCACGTGCTCGTGCATGCTTTTTATTTTCATTTGTCTTTAAATACAACCGATCTTGGGGGAGGAAAATCAAAGTAAGACCTAAGGAACATAGGTAAATTCTCTTAGTCACTTACACTATAAGTCCCTTCATGTCATGATGCATGCTTTAACTTCAATGCCAATCAACATTTCATTGATGGGTCTTTCGAAGTCCGTAATCGGAATCAGAATCACAATAAGAAGTTGGATGGTGGTGAAAAGAAATTATTCATGTGTTTAATAAACATTGAGGAATCAGAACAGTAGTGGGACTCATATAAAATAAAGAATTCAACTCTTGATTTTAAATTTATTGGATTTGTTTTTGGGAGTAATATTTTGATTCTTGAAGAAACAAGCCAAATTTTTATCATCTTTTATTCATTATTTATTTAATAGCTTAGTTATGGCAATGAATTACTTGTCAATTCACATTAAGAGAATTATCTTGCTCAAATTAAAATCAAAAGTATTAAAACATGAAAATAGAAAGAAAAAAAAAAAACAATGCAGGATTGCCAATTTAAAAATAATACTTCTACTCTTATTTTTTTTATTGAAGAGCTTGACAAATCATTAAAATCATTACTAATATATTTGTCATTACATCCATTCTCACACTATATGCATGCAGTTTCTCGGAAATAAAAAGAAATCGGCGGTGATAAATTCTCGGTGCCCTTTAGGACGTCCAGGAGAGCCAGAAGAAGTGTCTTCCTTGGTAGCATTTCTATGCCTACCTGCAGCCTCTTACATTACTGGGCAAACTATTACCGTCGACGGCGGGGTGACTGTCAATGGCTTGCTCTTCCAAGAAACATGACATGCAAATAGTTCGATATGTAGTAGTAGACAGTGCTTGAGGTCAGGAAAAACAAAATCTCTTATCTAATTCCAAAGTGGTGAGCTTTAGTTCTCCGAAAAAAGAAAAAACAAAGTGGTGAGCTTTAGTTTTATGTGAAATTAAGTGACATTAATGTTCTAATTAAATAAGTGAATGAAAGACCGCCGACCATTTGGTCTATTGATTTAACTTTCACTGTATTAGAAGAGCTTATAAACCTGGTTTGGTTTAGATGCATTTCTGCTCATCACCCTCAAGTGATAGTAATGTTCACCACCATACTTGTGGAGCAAATAATATTCACTAGGCGACACGTGGACTTTTGAACATAAGAGGACAAAAATACCCTTGAGGCATACCGGGATTCCTACGCGCGAGCAGTGGGCAATCATTTTTCAACCAAGTCAAAAGTGCCCAAAATAGGTATCAACTTAAAACTTAATTTATTCATATATTTCCCATTTCATTATTTAGCTAATCAATTAGCTAAATAATATACTTATTCCTTTCATATTTCCTCAAATCATAATAATTGACTAATTAAGGGATTAATTACCTAATCAATCCCTTAATTATCAATTTGAAACATCCACTCAAACCTAAAAATACTAGAGGGCCGGCTATCCCATTCAAAACCTAAACCATTACCTTTTTTGTTACCTTTTCCCACCATTTCTTCCCTTTTATTAGCCAATCAATACCATAATTACTATAACATTTCTTTTCATATTTAATTAGCCAATTAAAGTGGCTAATTAAACCACAAACTAACCAAAAACCCACTAGGCCGGTCATGCCCTTTATTTCCTGTTGGTGGCTGCCATTTTCTCCCCCTTTTTGTGACATTCAAATAGCTAGTAAATTAGGTTATTACTATTTGCTAATTAACTAGCCAATTATTTCCATAACTCCCTAAAAATAACTAGCCCACTATCTCCATAACCCCCCAAAATAAATCATCCTTTCCTCTCCTATAAATTGGGTACCATTTTCACAAAACACTAATCCACAACCTCTTGCAAAAAATCACAAACACTCTAAACACTATTTCTCTCCAAAATTCTAACTTTGGCATCGGAGGTTCTTCGGCCAAAGCCCCCCCATTCATCGTGGGCGCGTGAGGCTTTTGGCCTTAACCTAAGGTGCTAGTTGTTTTGTAGGTGCAAAATCGTCCAAGATCGAGGAGGAGAAAATTTGCATCCACAATACTTATTACCGTTGGATGAGTTAATATTTTGAAATTTACGTCTATCTACTACACAGATCTCAAAATTTAAAATAATTCAACGGTGATAACTAGAGTAATGATCATCACCATCACTTGAGCTGAGCAAAAATATTCCCAGGTTGGCATTTAGAATTGTATTAGATTGAAATCAATCGCTTTCAAATTTTATCCAAAATTAGACTGCCAAGCGAGCTAACAAGAGGTGAATATCCAGACTTAGCCACAGCAGCAAGAAAGGATGTGCTTACCATTACATCCGAGTTTAAATCAAGTGCTCCAAAGTTTGGATGAACAAATTTTCATCACGATTCTTGAGACAAAAACAATAAAAACTTAACGAGTTAACTTCAAACCTCTCCAGCGTACGTACCGATCATCAAAAAGAGGAAAAAAACAATAAGAGGGGAATACAATTTTTACTCCTAGAAATTGAAAGATTTAAGAAAGATTTAAAAGGTATATGTAGGTAACATCATGTGGCTTTTCGTCTCAATTTGATAACCTCTTACATAAAAATTCAATGGGTAAATTACATGTCCTCTCGTACAACTTCATTTATTTTTTTCAACTTCATACAACAACTCTCGATTTCGTAGCAATGTCATACAACCGTTAATTAATCTGTTAAATTGACTGTTAAGTGATGACATGACAAGAACATAGACCACATTTTGCTGACTTGGAGTCCAAATTTGTGCCAGATGGCTAAAACAAATTAAAAGAATTTTTTTTAATTATTATACAATGTGAAAATTAGAAAATTATTTTCAATATAATTTAATAGGGCTGGATTCGGTTTGAAACGGTTTGGTTTTTTGTTAAAACAGAAACCGAACCAAAATTTCGGTTCGGTTCAGTTCGGTCCGATTTTTTTTCGGTTTTTTTCGGTTTTGATTTTTTTCGGTTTGATTTCGGTTTCGGTTTTTTTTTTGGTTTTTTCATGATTTTTTTTAATATCTGGAGCTTGAAGCAGATTTTTTTCCGCATTCGGCTACAAATTTACCCTTTCTCTCCACACTCCGCAGATCCGGAGCCCTCTCAAGCATAGATGAAGGTGGTCGCTGCATAGTTGTTGGCTGTGTTGGGCGGCAAGACCACCACAGCTGGTGGAGGTGGTGCTGTTGCAGTTGCTGCAACTGGTTGTGGTGGTGGTGTTGCCGCTGAGGCAAAGAAAGAGGATAAGCAAATAATGATATCAGGGGAGAAAAAAAAAGAAAGGGAAAGAAATGGGTGAGACTCTCACAACACAAAAATCAAACAAATCTACAATACAAAACAAAACAACAACCCATAAATTTACACCAAATTTCAGATTCCCTCCATAGAATTTACTCTAAAAAAACCCATAAATCGACAAAATAAATAAGAGAGATTGGAGATCTTACCCTGGAGTGAGAAGATCGAGAAACGGAGAGAGAAGAATGAAGAAGAATGGAGAAATTGGAGGCATGGACAAGGAGGGAGTCTGGAGGCGCAGGGACGAGAGAGAGAAGAGGGGAATGAAAAAAGAAAAGGTCTGGTTGCTACTACTAGTGGCTAGGGTTTTGTTGATTTCTAATTGCACAAAAGACTATAGTTTTATATCTTTATAAATAGTTTAGTTATACAACTATAACAAAACAAAACCAGTTGCCATGTTGGTTTCATTGAAACCTTTCAACTGGAGCACACGGGTTCAAACCCACATGCCTCCAGGACTTTAGAGATTTTTTTAATTTTTATAATTAAAATATTATAAAAAATAATTAAATATATATTCGGTTCGGTTTCCAAACTTCAAAAACCAAAACCGAACCAGCCATATTCGGTTTGACAGTTTTCGGTTCGGTTTTTTTCGGTCTCGGTTCGGTTTGGTTCTCGGTTTTTTTCGGTTTCGATTTTTTGAACCCACCGCTATAATTCAATATTTAGATTGGTGGCTCACGGCACGTCGTGGTGGGTCACTGAGAGAGAGATTGAGAGGGAGGGCTGACACTGACAGAGATTGTAGAGAGGATTTGAGAGTTGCACGGTATGAGGAGGAAGAAAGAAGAAGGTTACGGTTGTTAAAACATTTTAAACCTTTACCCGACAGAAGGTTTATGGGGCAAAAGCTTTTAAAATTTTGATGTGTTCAAAACCCTAGATTTTCGTCGAGCAAACGCAATTTAGTTAAAAATTGGTGGGTTACCCGACAAACTTATGGAATATTTTGTTGGGTTACCTCTATTTTGCGGGGCAAATTTAAATTTTTGGGAAATTCTTGGGGTGTTCTTTTAAACCTTGCCCGACGAATACATAACTTTAGCCAACAAAATTTAGGAATTTGGCCCGACAAATTCAAGTATTTCGTTGGGCAACTTTGAAAAAGAATTTTCTTGAGTTTTGAACATTATGTTCAAACGGTTAAAAAAAAATCATCGAATTTCATAATCATGTAAATTTAGTGTGTGTTTTTACTTTCAATTTGGGTCCTTGTACAAAATTGGAGCTAAAACGATCATTAAATCTTGATTTTTTCGTTTCTAACTGTCTAATGATTTCGTTTCGTTATCTAATCTCCGAACATTTTTTTGGATGATTGTTGGTGTAGAAGAACTTGAAGTATATGCAAACATGTTCGATGATTGGATCATGAAAACTAGTTTCGTAGAATGCGTGTCCCTTTGTAAAGAATGGATTCCAAATCACTTAGTGTTTATTCTGTACTTCCATTAAGTAGAATGTAAGTTTTTGGTGTATCCACTATTTTAAATATTTTAGATTGATGATCGTGTTCGTACATCTTATTCTTCTAGGGTTGAGGATTTGTAAAAAATCAACAAAATCGGAGCTAAAACGACCGTTAAATCGTGATTTTTTGTTACTAACCATCGAACGATTTTGTTCTGTTACCAAATCTCCGAACATTTTTTTAGATGATTTTTGGTGTAGGAGATCTCAAAGTATATGTGTTTACATTTGACGGTTGGATTGTGGATTGAGATTTTTTCATAATGGTGGAGTTGAGTGAGTTGAAAAATGGAGAAAGAATGAGTGTTTATAAAGTAGAAGCACATATGAGTCCAACAGTAGGGATTGAAGCAGAGATTAGGGTTTTGTTTTCACATATCTAGATATAGGATCCCTGAAATGATGAAAATGGGACTACACTTATACTCATCATCACTCTTGGATTAAATGATATCAAACAATGCTGTGATAGAAGACAAATTCGATTTTGCACTGCCTCATGCATTTGTTAGGGATTCCAAACAATTAGAGTTTATTCTATACTTTTATTAAGTACAATGCATTCTTTCATGAACAAAGGCTCATGCATAGGGTTTAGAGCTTTGGAACCATTACAAAAAGAATTGAGAAAAGAAGAAAATTTTAAATGATATCAGTCAATGCTGTGATACAAGACAAATCTGATTTTGCATTGCCTCATGTATTTGGTTGGGATATTTTTTATCATCACGGTGGCATCCTCTCCATGTTTTTCCACATGCATGTAAGAAATCTGAGTAACTTTTGGTCATCACCTTCTTCGACACAAAGAAATTACTTAAGTACTCCACAGGGCGATCCTTATCCCTTCCAACTACTAGTTCTAATATTTCCGTTAGAAATGTTATAGTTGCTGCGAACCCCTACAATTGACTTCCAATCCTTACCCTTCTCGTACTTACAAATCTTATTTTTACCACCAATACTACCCCCTAAACCTCCATAACTGAAGTTGCTAAGAGGAGAAGTGTGACTTGCAAAATTCTGCCCGATGAATTGTGACTTGCCCTACGATCACTTTTCGTCACGTAAAGGTTTTGAATAAACTCTAAATGTTGACCATCTTTGGCCTACCAACTAAAAAAATCGACGAAATTTGGTTCATCGGGCAAAATTTTGTTGGGCAAGCCTTACTTTCATATGTTTCTGAAGATCTGATGCGTCTACTGCTTGAGTATTTACACATTTAAGGATGAGTGTTATAATTAATATTTCACGTAGTGCGATTATGTAAATCCTAGTAAAGATAAGTTAGAAATCCTTTAGGATCTAGAAGATCTTTCCTCTCTGACTTTGTATTACTTGGAGGGCAAGTTATTATCTCCTCCTTATTACTAGAAATAAAGGAATTAGGCATGAGTATGACACCATGATTTTCTAGGTTGGAGTCAGGAAAATCAGAATACAAGTACCTTAGATGTCCGATCATGGATTCAACAGCTCTGAGCAAAGCTGGATTAACAAAGTAGTGATGCCACCATCATCTTGTTTTGCAGCAGTGGCGAAACTCGAATGACTTCGTTGAGATTCACCATGCTTGTTCCGCAAGATATGAGAACCTGATCCAACATGGAATCAACTTGGTTTCTCATATTCTTGAAGTTCCAACAATCTAGGAATTGGCGTGCTCCGCAAGTAATGACACTCCCAAGATGATGCAATATCTACTTCTAGATATCCTCTGGATTCTCATGGTGTAATACAAAGTTATATCCTAAAAAGGTCTTTCTCCCCATTGCTATAAGTACACTCTTTTAGGATTCGTCTCTGGTAACGCAATTATTGCACTCTAACTTTCTTGCCCACTGCTTAAGTTTTATTATTGCTCACTAACTTGACCATCAAAGGACCTTTGACCAACACCCTATTGGGTCTCTGGCTTGCTCACAATTGCTAAGGTGCGTGAACTTGATTCCAACAATAAGAAATCACATCACATAATTCCTCAAACCTTTTTCTTCTCTCTACGCCACACACTCCCTCTCTAAATTTTAGGTCACAACAATTAGGCATATTAGGGATAAGTCAATTATTGGATATATTAGGGATGTTAGGCAATGAATAATGTGCTAAAACATGCACATGAGTCAATTATTAGGCTTATTGGCCTATTATAGGCATGTTTTATTTTTATATATATTAGACAATGAATTTATAACATTAATGTTTATTTTTCTTTTGTAAAATTATTAATCCTTTTACAATTGGCATGGAATTAATTGTGTATATCAAATATTTAAATAGCGGTATTTTCGGCATTGAAAAGATGTATGATGTCTAATTAGTTAAATATAATTAATGAATTTGCTTATGTAGAGTCTAGTCACTAAATTTTATTCGAACAAAAAAAAATTATGTTAGATTGTATTAAAAAAAAGTTAAATTTCAAAAGCTAAAGTTACATTTTCAGTAAAAAAAAAAAAAAAAAAAAAAAATCTTTCTAGCATTTCTCGACGTGTACGGTGTACTTAATTAAAAAAATCATCATAACTATAATTATGCATACCGCAAATACTAGGAGCAAACAGTAGCGGCAATGGCCGATGTGTTTGTAATCGGATTTTCAGGATCCGAGCAGCTACTAAGTAGGTGCATGCATGAAACAGTTCGTGTACTTTTTATGCTGGCCACCCAATATCTGGTAGTAATCAAAACCAGTATTAAATGGCAGCACCACTAGTATTGTGCATGAGGGTTAGAAAGCAGAGAGAGAGAGAGATGAGCAGCAGAGGCAGAAGATGGTCTCTTGAGGGAATGACTGCTCGTCACTGGTGGAACCAAAGGAATTGGGTTAGCTTCTCTAAATTTGGATAGTTAAAACCATTAATCTTTTAGGGCCTGTTTGGTATCTAACTTGAGAACGAAACTCAAAATTTTAATTTTTTCTAAAAATAACATGTTTTGATTTAAAATTTTTAAATTCAAAACCTTGTTTGGTATGCATTTTCTCAAAACTAATCCAAATAGAAAAAGTCAAACGCCCAGCCCAAACAATTACCCGACCACCGCATCCCTCCCATCCCCAACAGCGAAAGACCAATTTCCTTACCACCGCATCCCTCACTTCCCTAGCGGCGACTCCTTTGGCTATTTACCAAGTCCTTCCTCCAAACTCATGCTGACAGAGGCTAATCATGTTGGCGGTCTCAAACCCGAGATCCAACGACCATAGGGAAGATGTGGTGGCTATGGTGCTATGATGGATGCAAGTGAGAAGAGATAAGATTGAAGAGGCAACAAAGAAGAGAGGATTGAAGAGGCAGGAGAGATCGATTTGTCTTGGCCGGAGGGAGAAGGATAGAGGTGGTGGCTATGATGGATAAAAGCGGGAAGGGACTGGAAAGGCAACAAAGAAAAGAGGATTGAAGAGGGAATAGGGAAGGGAGTACATCGAATGGGAGAGAGGAGAGAGACGGGATATTTTCAGTTTTTCTTTTACATGCAATGCAATGTTCACTTTATTTTTTCTAATTGGAGCTTTGATCTTGAATTGGTTCAACTGGAGACTTTAGTTCATAAACTTGTCACAATATAAAACAATAGTCCTATTGGTTAAAATTGTTAGAACTTCCTTTCAAAATAAGAAACAAATAGGGGAAAAATAATGGACATAAGTGATAAGAAAGTTATCCAAAAATACTATTGCTCCGGCTACTAGTTCAAAGACCAATATCCACAAATGTTTAATTCAATGACTAAAGCTCAATGAGATACCAAAATTTAAGGACAAGTGTTCCAATTTTTTATCTTAATTTTACTACTCTATGTTGAAGTTGATAATGTAATTATATAGGTA